ACCGCGGTTCACGGCACAGCTATTCCTAAAGAGCCTGCCACAGTTCAACAGGCTCTGGGGGGGGAGCATAGGGAAAAATGGCGCGAAGCCATGGACAGGGAGCTGAAGGCACGGGAGGAACGCAACATCTGGAAGGTTGTTCCTATCGGAGTAGCACGGCACAAGATGATTCTCACCGGAAAATGGGTCTTCCGTGTGAAGACGAAGGCTGACGGCACCATCGACAAATTTAAGGCGCGCTGGGTCGTACGCGGCTTCGACCAAGAACACGGACGCGACTTCACCGTGTCAGAACTAGCTGTAGAAAGTAAGAATGAAGAAAGGAGGGTTTGCACTAGCAGCAGTTGGCATACATATAGGAAACCCTAATTGGGTTGTACTCGCTATAGAGTACCCCACTGCAGGCTAGAGCATAATATTCTGACACACCCCCATAGCCAAAGTGGGGTGTAATCAGCAGAGAAAGCAAAGCAGTACAAGCTCAGGGTGGATCACAATGTCACCACACATTCTGAGCACATGTTTAAGAAGCAATAGTTTAAAGTGCACAATTATGAGCAAAGCTAGAGGCAGTTACAGAGGGCAAGTGAGGAGGAGGAGGGCTGGCGAGAGGAGAGAAGAGTGGAGGCGACGACTGAAGCTGCAGACACACGGGCAACAGACGGCTCTGGTGCAACTCTAGTGGCTACCGGGAGCAAGGGCCCCGGAATACAGGAGTAACAGGCTCTGCGTCTGATCAGCAGCGACAGGAGCAACGGACCCACGGGCGACAGATGCAACCGGCTCTCTGAGCTACCGGTGGCTATCAGAACCCCGGAATACAGGCGCTGCAGACGACACGACGGCTGCCTCCACCCAACCTCCTCCAACTGTCCCACACCCCCCAACACACACCCCCTGCTGAAACCCTAGCTCCACTCCCATGGCACCCCCCTTAAACCCTAAACCCTCGGCTCCCACACACCCACCCCCCTGAGCAGCAGCTGCAGCAGTGGGAGACGGAGGAGGAGGAGGAGCAGGGGACGGCTGACAGAGACGGCACCCCCATACGCTCCACCCCCAAACCCTAATTCAGGAGTACGGGCAGCAGCAGGGGTGGGGCGCCGTCAGAAGCGCGAGGGACGGCGTGCAGCTCAGTGGGAGAGGAGACCGGGCGCCCGCGGGCCAGGCGCAGCCCGTACGAACCGCGCGCAGGCGGCCCGAGGCGCGCGCGGGCCAGGCGCAGCCCGTACGGGCCGCGCGCGGGCCTGGCGCAGGCCGTACGGGCCGCGCGCGGGCCTGGCGCAGCCCGTACGAGCAGCGCGCGGGTTGTACGGGCCGCGCGCGGGCCTGGCGCAGCCCGTACGGGCCGCGCGCGTGCAGGAAAGGCCGCGCGCGGGCCTGGCGCAGCCTGTACGGGCCGCGCTCGTGCAGTACGGGCCGCGCACGGGCGACGGGGGCGACGCGCGGGTCCCCGGGGGCGCTTCGGCGGGCGACGGGGGGAGAAAACCGCCGCGCGCCTCGGGGCGCACGGCGGGCAGAGAACCGCCGCGCGCCTCGGGGCGCACGGCGGGCAGAAAACCGCCACACACCTCGGGGCGCACGGCGGGATGAAAAATCCGTCGCACGCCACGAGGCGTGCGACACACAGAGTAGCAGTAGCAGTAGCAGCGGAAGGCTTAGGTGGTGGGCCCACCCACAGGATCGACCCAGGAGGGTCGACCTGCTCTGATAGCATGTCAGAATAACTGAACGAGGAATGGATGAACTAGCAGGAAGGTGGGTACAAGTATGAAACCCTAAGTTTGTGTACCCTCTAAGGCTAGACCCACTATAGCCTACACAATATAAACATACAATGTTTGACACACCGAAACATTCACTCCGGTCAGCCGACACACCTCGTTGCGAATTCTCCTCGCGATCGCCGCCATGAAGAAGAAGAAGTTGCAGCAAATCGACGTCGCCAATGCATTTCTCTACGCACCTGTCGACGCAGAAATCTTCGTCGAACTACCGCACGGCTCCAACGGAGAACCTAACCACGTCTGTCAGCTACTGAAGTCACTCTACGTCATCAAGCAAGCTCCGAGACTGTGGCAGCATTACTTGCACGCAAGACTCATCCGCATTGGATTCCGCCAGCTACCTCACGACCAGGGCATGTACCGGCTCACGAAAGGCACCGACTACATCCTACTGATCGTCTACGTGGACGATTTGCTCTACATTGGCTCGACTGACGGCGTCACTACTTGGTTAGAAGGGGAGCTACAGAAGGATCTCACACTCACGGTTTCGTTCACCGTCACGCAATACCTCGGCCTCAACATTCAGGAAGAAGAGGACGCAATCTACCTCAGCGCCGCGAAATACGCCGACACCATCGCCAAACGCTTAATTCGCCCTCACGCAAACTACCATCTCCACGCCATACCGCTACACGACAGGAAACCACAAGGAAGGATCTGCTCCGCTAAAGCCCGCCGGGATACGCGACTACCAGAGAAAGCTAGGCTGC